GTTTTTAATTTTGAGGGACTGGCGGTGAGCGGGCCCATAAACCCCATAACGAGTTATGATCGTTTTAACAGCACTTTTTTTGACAAATTTTCTTGATTTTTTTAAAAATCAACGGAGATTGTTTATTGAAAAACTATTGACCGAATGTGTTTTACATTGAACTCAAAATGCATGGTTTTTTTTCAGGTCGGCTCGGCAATTCTACAATGAAATAGCCGCAGTCGACATTTCTATGAATAAAATCAATAATTATCGCAATTTCGATCTTTTTCTTCCCTGGTTGGCTTCTCAGGGGTTATACGAATCTCTGAAAAAATTGATGATTATAAAAAAAAATTTTTCGTACGTTTGCTAGCGGTTCAAAGTTTGCCGACTTTTACGGACCCTGAAAATCGGGGGGTTTTTCGACTTCTCACAGCGATTATAAATANCTTTGTACCATCTTCCCCAACCACGATTGCAGATTTTCTTTTCTCCTTACCCAAAGTGACTTTTTTTACAAAACATACTGAGAAATCAAAGTGGCACTCCGATCCTTTCTGTCCAATATTGATTTTAGAAAATATATTTTTTTAACCATTTCAATTTTTGAAATCTTCCATTAAAAAATTGATAACTACTGACACTAAAAATTTCGTCAAATACTCAAGGAATAGAAAAATTGATGTAGTCAGNTGCATGGTTTTTTTTCAGGTCGGCTCGGCAATTCTACAATGAAATAGCCGCAGTCGACATTTCTATGAATAAAATCAATAATTATCGCAATTTCGATCTTTTTCTTCCCTGGTTGGCTTCTCAGGGGTTATACGAATCTCTGAAAAAATTGATGATTATAAAAAAAAATTTTTCGTACGTTTGCTAGCGGTTCAAAGTTTGCCGACTTTTACGGACCCTGAAAATCGGGGGGTTTTTCGACTTCTCACAGCGATTATAAATAAACTAATCAAATTAAAAACTTGAAACTCCGTATTGGGCAAGCGAAATACTTATATTACACAGTGTATTTGGTCTCATATTTTTACGATTTTTTTTCACTGAGTTATAGACGTTTATTTCGAGTGGTACTTTTGACACCGACAGTAATTCGAATAATTGCTATACATACCGTTTTTCCTAGAAATTCTTAAAAGATACCTATAAGCATTGGGATTTGGAAAATTTTTACAATTATTATTGTAATAAAATTTTGAACATTTTCTAATTATAGGTTTTAGCGGAAAATATCAATCTAATATTTTTGTCGCATATCTGTTGTTATTAAATATTCCTTATATAGAAAAAAAGTTGTACAATATTTACTAGAAATTTTAAAAAACAATAGCATTTGCAATTTTTTAATTTGTGTCAAATCGTTCCGGACCAATGGAATCAAATCGCCAAGGACAACAATCTAGTCGTATGGTAAATTCCTCTGTATAATTATTGCTCTAAAAATAATTCTTTTTCGTTGAATAACATGAGGTTATTACGATTTACAGGCAATATTGTACTCGTACATCAACAAATTGAGTCACTATCGGAATGTGCACATCGAAAAGTGCAGGAGAGTTTTCCCCTCAAGTTGGGAGATGGGCAGTTCAGATTTCTGCACACATAGTGATTGGAACACGGGCTGATTATGCACATTAAGATTTCCACGTGTCAGTTTCATTTATGAGCCTTGTGCACGCTGTTCAACTTCTCGATAACCCTATTTTGGTCACCATAGGAGGGAAACGCCGCAGAAGGTCGATTTTTTTTTCTTACCATTGACTGGCTGAGCGAAAAAATCTGAAAAAATTGGAATGCGTCAATTCAAGTGTGCAGAAAATTATAATATTTTTTAAAATTATTTATATCCACAATTCCTGAAGAAAACAAATTTTTTCTAACAGACGGGCAATTTTTTCCCATGTTAAATGAAATTGCCCGTTGTGCGACATTGTCGAAGTCGCTAAACGCGCCCGGGCAGTATAGAGTGAATTCGGCAACGCTCGGGCCTAAATAACACGGCGGCGATTCCCTGCGGAGGTGACCAAAGTCGCAAGTTCTCATATGGTGACCACACTAGGATTAAAGATGTTTAGGTAGTTGGTTCCATTCTCTTGGAGAAACTTTACTTCAGACTCTTGTCGTTATGATATTCTTTTAATAAATGACTTCCATTTTAGTGAAAAAACGCGGAATTTATTGCGATCAATTTCTTACTTTTGATAAAGTTTACTCTACCCCATTTAAGTGTATAACATCTGGTCTTTTTTTCTTTTTTTTCGTTCAATCGACATAGACATTACTTTTTAATTCAATTTCCGGCCCGTTTGAGGATTTTAACATTTTTTTTCTTATGAACTAGGTAATTTTAAGGTATTGAGCATAGCAGGTCGATTTGAAATCAGCGTGCCAAAATCATTGGGGTGGTGGCAATTTAATTCCCTGTGCCAAAAACCTGGAATTTTGTAGGGCTATATAATATTCAATCTCAATTAATTTTTATCCTTTGGAACTGAATTTTTAAATAAATACGATCGTCAATCCAATGAAAAAGAAAAACGATATTCAAATTTGCGATTTGCTGAAACACAAGTCATATTGAAAAATCAGGACTTTCAGAATTGGCACCAAAATAATCGATTCTCGGACAAAAAAATCAATCGATTCTCGAGAATTCACATCTGTTTTCTGTCAATACAGTGGACTCTGGTTAGAGTCGACTGTTTTGCGGGACAGGGGAAGCGATTTCGGAGAATTCGACTTTATTTCCCTGCCCCCACTACGCGCTCACGCCGAGCCCGACTTTCGAGAACTGGGAACGATAATATGAAAAATACTATTGCTTTTCTCTCTCAATTCAACACTTTATTTTAATGATAAACTTTAGTTTACAGCTTCAACTATAATAGCAATATTCATATAGATTCAGACGATTTTTTTATTATCAATATTTTAAATTTCATTGACTATAGTTGATCACAGAAGCTTTGTACCTAACATTCCATAGAACAGATATTTCTTCTGGAGTTAACGAACCATGTGAATCAAAAATGTTACAGTCGTTTTCTTTACCTCGCTTCATTATTTTATTTAATCCAATTTCGAATTAATTTTATGCCAACAAAACGAGATCCTCCCCCATGACAGCCAGAAGTGGACTAAATTTTTTGATCGACAATTCAAATGCAGAATATTTTATTTTTCGTCTTTACTGGAATCGGAAGACAATAGCAATTTGAAGAAAATATTGGAATGTTTACTCTCCGGCTTGGGTGGGGACAGAGTGGGGGAAGCGCTCGAGCGGCGAGATAAAAAAATTGAGGGGAAGTTCGACACTAACCAATATGCCTCTAACCAGAGTCCACTGTACTTGGATACAACCAACGAGCCGCTCCTCGGTACACTATCAAGCCGCCGGATCACTTCAATCATTATATTTCCATCTACTTCGTAAGTTTCATAGATGACCAAATACGAAGTCCACAACCACTCAATCGTCTTTCTCTTTTTTTCCAGAAAAAACTTCGAAAAACGCAATGGAAATATGCATAGATTCCCTACGATCTGCCCAGAACGCGATCCGAGGTGGCGCCACACGACTGGAAGTCTGCTCATCTCTTTCCGAAGGTGGGCTGACTCCCACCCCAGGATTACTTCACGTAATCAAATCTTGCAATTCGAAAATTCCGCTTTATTGCATGATACGCATAAAATCTGGTAACTTTATCTACACAAGAGAAGAAATGGATGCAATGATCTTCGACGTCAAAATTCTAAGCCAAAGTGGTGCAGATGGATTTGTTTTCGGAGCGTTAACGGAAAACTATCAAATTCACAAAAATTTCTGCAGAGAAATAATTTCGGCGGTTGCGCCGAAGAAAGTGACGTTCCACCGGGCATTCGATGAGGTTCAAGAGCCTCTTGAAGCTCTAGAAGATGTAATAAGCCTTGGTTTCGAAAGAATTTTAACTTCAGGACAGAAGAATACAGCTATGGAGGGGTTAGAGTTGATTAAAAGACTCGTAAAAATTGCAGGAGATCGGATTATTTTGATGCTGGGAAGCGGTATCAATCCAGACAATATCTCCGAAATTAAGCAGACATCGGAAGCTAAAGAGTTTCATGCGTCTGCCAAAGTTAAGGTTGCCGAGACGCAAACAGCAAATAAAGTTAAAATGGCAGATACAGAGAGTTTTCTCTTTGTAGCGAGTGAAGATTTGGTGAGGAAGATGATTGACGCTATCAATAAAGCGTGATTACTTACACTTTTCAATTGAATTTGTCGTGGGAACTCAATAAATTTCTGGGCAATTTGCTGTGAAATCGTTTTTGCTTTTCGGAAGTAAATTGCTAATTTATAAGTAACAATAATTATACTCATTGGTAAAAAATGCAATTGTCCACTTGTTTCATTAATATCAAGTATATAATTGTATTGTAATTAATAAAAGGAATAAATGGAAACGAAAAATGAACAGAATAAATGAATCAACATAAATTGGACATTTATTTACGGAAAATCCTCACGCAACAAACCCCTAGACAGAATGAGATTCACAGGGGGGAGGGTTGAAATATCTGTCTTATTTATCCTGGTACTGCTTGGTTTTTCACCGCCTTTACATTTATCACATCATTCCCCTCTCTCCAAATTATTTCAATTTTGTTTATTCCCTAGGGGGATAAAATGCTAAAAAATTAAATTATGTTCTAAAATATGAGTTGTAAAATTTTTTAATTATCACCAATCTTCACTACGTCTCTGATACTATTCCATCAGTAAAAGATCCGTGATCATCGCCAGGCTTTTTCTTTGTTTTCTAGGCTCTAGCCCATCTCCCTCTTCCATGAACCATAATGTTGTAGACTCATTGAAAAGCTTATTAAATAAGCTTCAAAATGACACCTGACTCATCCAATTCTGATCATTTTTCATTTAGTTATGACACTTTTAGGCTGAAAATGAATTTTTACGTTTTACTTCAAAAATTAACTTTGGCTGGAGTTTTTGATTCTTCCAAGTGGACTAGACCAGAATATCAATATATCATTTTGAAGAGCATTTATCAGTCTTTGAAATGGTGCATGATAAAAATCCCATTTGATAGAATTTCCATTGAGTTATTGCAGATTGTTTTCATTTTTTACGTTATGTCACACTCAAAAAATGACACTTTTTGCCATTTATCGATTCTTTTGAGTTGACCAATGGGAACAAGTCACACATCAATTTGTAGGTCTTATCGAGATCTTCAAAATGATACCTCATATTAACCATTCCATCCATTTGATTAATCGCTATATATATATATATATATATATATATATATATATATATATATATNCCAAGTGGACTAGACCAGAATATCAATATATCATTTTGAAGAGCATTTATCAGTCTTTGAAATGGTGCATGATAAAAATCCCATTTGATAGAATTTCCATTGAGTTATTGCAGATTGTTTTCATTTTTTACGTTATGTCACACTCAAAAAATGACACTTTTTGCCATTTATCGATTCTTTTGAGTTGACCAATGGGAACAAGTCACACATCAATTTGTAGGTCTTATCGAGATCTTCAAAATGATACCTCATATTAACCATTCCATCCATTTGATTAATCGCTATATATATATATATATATATATATATATATATATATACGGTAATTTGGCGATTTTAGCATGTCACGTTTTGAAAATTTCCATGTTTTTCCTCATAACAGAGAGATTTGTTCGATTTATATTCGAATCGGTTTTTGCCATTTATAGAGGCTTTAGGCTTGACGTATTTTGAGAAAAATCGGTTTCAAAGTCGGTCAAAAAATGAGTATTAGGATCGATTTGAGGATTCGATTTGAGGATCGTTATCCTTCGTGAAGTTGTCAGAAGAAAAAGGGTCAGTTCTATTTGAAATTTGTATATGATGAAAGAATAATCAGGTTATGATGAATTTGAATATTTTTGATCAATGGTTTGTTCTAGCTTACTAGAGTGGTAAAAGGGATGTGTAATAAGACAGTGAGTAGAACCTTAGAGTGAACGCCGATAGGCCTCAATATCTTCACAAGGAATGAAATTGATTGTATCATGAAGATTTCTTCAGGAACAATAATGGTTTTAAAAAAAAATTAGTTCTATGTTTCAATTTGCTAACTTACAACAATACATTATTGAGTATTAGTGAATGCAAACAATTCATTAATTCCAATTAGTGAATTGGAACTAACTGGAATTTGGAATTAGGAGATAATTTTTTCAAGTTGTGTTAATAGAATAAAATGAATTACTGATGTAAAGTAATAAATAATATAGTAAAAAAGTGAGAGTAAAAGAGTGAAAAAAGTATCAGTACTAAAATCACGCAATTTAGCTAGCGCGCGCGAAGCGCGCGTCCCGCCTAGCTAATGGAAAAAAACTACCTTTTTTAGTGAACATTGAAAAATGTTATTTTTCAAGGTCATACATGACACTCTTAAGAATATCCAAGTACCGTTCACAATTTCGTACTGTAATTTAGCAGGAAAATAGCGTGGAAACGTGAAAAAAAGCGTGGATAATCAGCGTTATTCAAATTAAATTTCGCAAAAAATGCCTTTTTCAAACATTCCTTTCCTATCAATCAATTATGAACATGGCTTCAACTTCCGGAGACTATCATTTTTTAGATGAAATCAATTTTTGATGAAATTCTGAACATGGAATTTTTTTTACGACTTATATAATCGCGCCGCGATTATTCGAAGGGGAGCGTTTGTCTGAAGATTCGCCACCTTGTCATTATCTTGGAATGGATCAATAATTTGACGAGTCCACTCGCTAGCCAGTTCTAATTTTTCTAATCTCATCATGATAAATTGAATAGAATATTGTACTCTTCATTTATGGATAGAATTTGTTTTAGTATAATTATTGAATTCTTAATTTTGAAGATTCTTATCTCTTAAAGATAAATAAATTAATCTAACAATTCACGGTTTTAATTGTTACATGATTATATTCTAGTTTTTGATTAATAGGTGCCGTCTCTTCATTTCCATTTNATGTAACGCCTCTGACCAATCCGGATTTGATCAGGGCGAATTGACCTGAACTTGATCAAGCCCAACTCATACGAACAGGATGACCTGTTCACCGGTATCAATAATAATTTTTCGTCATTCAGGCCCATTAGGTAGCGCCTACTATAGCTGTCTTGAGGGAAGCTAAATGGCGTTTAACAGACCAGGTTCGTTAAACGAAGCACAGGTATGGTTAACTCGAGTTAGCAGCCCTAGGACAATAAAAACATACAGTTTCTAGATGGGCAACCCACAAAACCTTCGTAGGAATACAACATGAAGTGTGCGGTTATCGCTGTCACTTGCTTGAAAACTCGGCGGATCGTTCACCACTAATACGATGCGCCACCGTCATTGCCGATGACATCAGGAGTTGTTATTCCGTTGCTAGGGAGTCAGTCGTAACTTGAGGGTTATATTGTCAAAATATTAGTTTAATAAAGAGATTATATTCACTTTCTCGTTATATATCTATTTTGAATAGATTATATATATATTTCTATTAAAATGTGATGAAAA